CGTCAATTATTAGCATTGATTTAGCGTCGTTCTGCATCGATCTAATGTCTGCCAGCGTCGATTCGCACGGGTCAAGAAGATGGTACGAGAGGCTCCCATGAGTTGCCACCGAAGTTGAGCGAGGGCTCTCTTACAGTCCTGGCGCCGCCAGCAACAGCGCCACTTACGCTACCGAGGAACCCCACATACTTACTTACAATATGTCTAGCGTGATGACAGCTGGCGTGAAACTCGCGAGGATGATGCAGGGGGCCGTTGCTTCGCCGATCCCGCTGGTGGCGCCTGTGAATCCTTGGGAGCCCGAGTACCCTGAGAGGGGGTCCATCGGCCCTGGGAGACCCCCCATACGGTGTCGAGGAAGTGCCTTGCCTGCTGTGCTTGGACGACCGTCGCGCACAGCGGCCGCCGCGAGAGACCACACCCTGCGCACCTTTCTACGGTGTCGAGACAATGCCACGACCGGCGCGCATAGCGGCCGCGGTGGGAGACCACCCCTTGCGCACACCCTTTACGGTGTCGAGAAAATGCCACGCTTGCTGTGCCCTGGACGACCAGCGCGCGTAGCGGCCGCGGTGAAAGACCCCCCCCTGCGCACCCCATGCGGTGTCGAGAGAGTGCCACGCCTGCTGCGCCTTGTCGACCAGCGCGCGTAGCGGCCGCGGTGGGAGACTACCCCCTGCGCACCCCGTATGGCGTCGAGGAAATGCTAGCCTGCTGTGCGTGGACGACCGCCGCGCATAGCGGTCGCGGTGAGAAACCAGCGCGCGTAACGGCCGCGGTGTCGAGGAAATGCCACGCCTGCTGTACTTGGACGACCGTCGCGCATAGCGGCCGCGGTAAGAGACCACCCCCTTTTTGCGGGCTTCCTATTGTGTCGAGGAAATGCCACGCTTGCTATGCCGTGGACGACCGTCGCGCATAGCGGCCGCGGTGAGAGCCAAACCCTTGCGCATCCCCCACGGCGTCAGGAACATGCAACGCCTGCTGTTCCGTGGACGACCGTCGCGCATAACGGCCGCGGTGAGAGACCACCCCCTGCGCACCCCATTCGGTATCGAGCAACATGCACGCCTGCTGTGTTTGGACGGCCGTCGCGCACAGCGGCTGCTGGTAAGAGCCCACTCCCTGCGCACCCTCCACGGTGTCGAGCAAGTGCCACGCATGTTGTGCTTGGACGACCGTCGCGCATTGAGGCCGCGGTGCGACACCACCCCCTGCGCACCCCGTATGGTGTCGAGAAAATGCAACGTTTGCTGTGCCGTGGACGACCGTCGCGCGTAGCGGCCGCGGTGGACACCCCCTTACGGTGCCGAGAACATGCTACGATTGCCGTGGACGACCGTCGCGCATAGCGGCCGCGGTTAGGGACCACCCCCTGCGCACCCCATACGGTGTCGAGAAAATTCAGCGCGTGTTATGCCGCGGGCGACCGTCGCGCACAGCGGCCGCGGTGAGAGACCACCCCCTGCGCACACCCTATGGAGTCGAGAATATGCTTTTGCGCTTGGACGACCGTCGCGCATAGCGGCCGCGGTGGAACACCACACCGTGCGCACCCCCCACGGCGTCGAGAGATTGCCACGCTTGCTACGCCCTGGACGGCCATCGCGCATAGCGGCCGCGGTGAGAGACCACCCCCTGCGCACCCTGCATGGTGTCAAGAAATTGTCACGCTTACCATGCCGTGGACGACCGTCGCGCATAGCGGCCTCGGTTAGACACCACCCCCTTGCCTACACCCTGCGGTGTCGAGAACATGCCACGCATGTTATGCCATGGACGACCGTCGCGCATAGCGGCCGCGGTGGGAGGCCACCCCCTGCTCACCTGATTCGGTGTCGAGGAAACAGTCCATGCCTGCTATTCTGGGACCACCGTCGCGCATAGCGGCCGCAGTGAGAGATCACCCCCTTGCGCACCGTCCATGGTGTCGAGAGAATGCCACGCCTGCTGTGCCTGGACGACCGTCGCACATAGCGGCCGCGGTGAGAGAGTACCCCCTGCACGCCCTCCATAGCGTCGAGGAAATGCCACGCCTGCTGTGCCCTGAATGACCGTCGCGCATAGCGGCCGCGGTAAGAGCCCACCCCCTGCGCACCCCATACGGTGTCGAGAAAATGCCACGCCTGCTGTGCTTTGTCGACCGGCGCGCGTAGCGGCCGCGGTGAGAGACCACCCCATGCGCACCCCCTTCGGTGTCGAGAAAATGCCACGCCAGCTTTGCCCTGGACGACCGTCGCGCACAGCGGCCGCGGTAAGAGACCACCCCCTGCGCACCCCTTGGGTGTCGAGACACGCCTGCCACACCTGCCACACCCTGCGAATATTGCGCGTATGTGTTGTGCGGTGTGCGTGTCATGTGCATGATGCGTGTGCGGCTGTATTTGGGCGTGTGTCTCTGGGGTGGGGGGAGGAAGGAAGAGGAGGGGAGGAGGGGAGGCGGATGAACGGGGGTTGCGACGCGGTCGGGAAGAAAACAAGAACCCCATTAAGCATGTGGGGAAATTTAAGGTGCAAAGGTATTTATTTATTCCTGGCCGCGGTTTGCCTCGTCCACGACTAGGCTTCCGGCGTAGATTCAAGTCGGGCACGTCTCTCGACAGAAGGAATATTCAGAAGTAGTAGAAAATAGTCTCGGTAGATTTTCTTTCCAAGTATCATTGAACAATGTTTGGATATGTTTGGACTATGTGTTCTTTTCTTTTTTCTTCCAAAATCCGCTTGCAGGAGGACATGCCCGACCTAATAATAGGTTTCCCGACCTTGATCTAAGGAACGGCCCGCCACTTCTCCGAGATTGGCTTCTCATCTTGCGTTGTTGCTTGAGGGCACAGGAACCCCGTGAGAGCCCCTGGTGGCCGAACTGCTTCCTCACAGCAAAACGAGATCGCGACCCTTCATGATCGCGAGGATGTCGGGGTCGTTGCCGTGCGAGCGTCCAGCAGGTCCTCCCCTCCCCCAGTCTGCCGCCGCACCGTTTGCGCCCCGCCCTTGCCTGATGGGCAAATGTTCCACCACTACCATATGTAGAACGGGGGAGAAGGGAGGATGAGGAGGTCCTCCTCCTCCTCCTCCTCCTCCTCCTCCTCTCCTCCTCCTCCTCCTCCTCCTCCTCCTCTCCTCCTCCTCTCCTCCTCCTCCTCCTCGCCTCCTCCTCCTCCTCCTCCCCTCTTCCTCCTCCTCCCCCTCCCCTTCCTCCTCCTCTCCTCCTCCTCCTCCTCCTCCTCCTCCTCCTCCTCCTCCTCCTCCTCCTCCTCCTCCTCCTCCTCCTCCTCCTCCTCCTCCTCCCTCTCCTACTTGTGGTGCTGGTGGTGGAAAGCAAGCCCATCGCCTCCTCCCCCTTGCAAGGAGGAGCGCGCCGTGGCCCCGGCGGCACAGAACGTCGTGTCCCACGCGGTCGGCAGGTTCTCGGGCCGGAGCCTCGGCGGTGGGCGGTGCTCCGACCTCATGCGGGTGCTGCCAGAGGTGTCCTCGGGCCCAGGGCGCCCCCAGAATTCCCAGGCAGGCCCAAATTCACCAGCCTCGAACTTATCCCTATCCCTACGATGGGCGAGCAAAAAGCGACGACAATCTTAGGGATAGGCCCTCAGAAACTGCGGGAATCCTTAAGATCGACATCGAGATGAGGTGATGTCAAACATAGGGATAGGGACATGTTTCAAACTGGTAACAAATGGCCTCGCACCCCTCACAGGGCTCCGAGGGCCCCAGGAGCTCCAAAATGCCGCGAACAGCGGGGGGGGGCACCGTGGGCCAGGACCAGCTCTGGCAACACCCGAGCATCGGCTGGTACCGCCAGGCCGTCGACGCGGCCGAGCTCGTGGAGGAGAGAGCGGAGAGCGCGGGCACAGACGTGCGGAGGTCCGCGCAGACGGCCCTGAGACCCGGTGCGGCGCCTCCCTCTGGCGCCACTCCTCACCGCCCACCAAACCACCCCAACCCAACCCGAAGGCCCCAATTTGCCCTCCATTTCCAGTTGGGGGGGGTCGGGGAACGTTGATAAAGCACACATGAAGCTCGTACCCCCCCCAACCCGAAATTCGAGTCTTCGGGTTGGGTTGGGGTGGTTTGGTAGGTAGTCAACTCCTGGCGCGCTCCGCGCGCGGGGGGAGAGGGCCCCGCGCGGGCCCGAGAGCGCCCCGGCCCCATGGGGCGCTGTGACTTCTGCGTGGCGTGGGCCCTCGGAGGTCTGGGCTCCACAGAAGGAGTCCGTGGCGGTCCCGGGGCCCAGTCCTCCTCCTCCTCCTCCTCCTCCTCCTCCTCCTCCTCCTCCTCTCCTCCCTCCTCCCTCCTCCTCTCCTCCCTCCTCCTTCCTCCTCCTCCTCCTCCTCCTCCTCCTCCTCCCTCCTCCTCCTCTCCTCCCCTCCCTCCCTCCCTCTCCTCCTCCTCCCTCCTCCTCCCTCCCTCCCTCCCCTCCCTCCCTCCTCCCTCCCTTCCCTCCCTCCTCCCTCCCTCCCTCCTCCCTCCTCCTCCCTCCCAGTTCCGTCGCGGTTCTCTCGCGAAGCGAGCGGTCCGGGAGGTCCGCGTGGACCTCCGCGAGTTTGCGCCCGTGCCTTCGCTTACACGCCGGTGGTTGAAGAGAGTGGGTATTTCTGGATTCCCAGATCCCAATCTACACCTTAGGCGATGGTTAAGAAAACCCAAGTTTTCGGCCAGAGTCTCGATTATTCTTAATGTTTCCATGTAAATCCTAAGATTTCGATGGAAATTCTGGGCTTCTACTCAAGTTCTGAGACTATGAATTTCTTAACCCATGATTTCTTAAGCATTTCGCAGGGTGTACTTCAAGCGCCTTCCTACTTCAACACTAGATATGCGGTCGCTGCGTTTTGCTACTCTCTGGGAGGGCCTGGACCCAACCTGCTTTCTCCGCCTTCCTACTTCATGTGTTCACCAGCTTCTTCCGACCGACGTGTATGTCTGAGCCTTTTTGTTGCGTCCCGAGGAGAGCGACGTGAGCGGCGTGCCGCTGTTGCGGCCGTGGGGCGCCTTCCTCTGGG